GGCTGGAAAGGGAGCTGCCCTCCCCGCCCCTGCATCTCGCTGCGTCCTCCCCGCCCCACTCCGCCTCTCCGCCAGCCTGTCCGCTCCCCTGTCAGTCCCGTCCGTAGACCGATGGCCTTCAGATGGAAGGCTCCAGCCCGGACCCCGACCCGAGTCCCCGGGGGTCCATGGACCCAGCTGCGGCTAAGCCTCTACCTGGAGGCCCCACCGGTACCAAGTCCAAAACAGAACTCGCTCTCCTCCGTGTTCCTTGTTCTCCGCCTCTGGGATTAGCGCTGCCGGGCGTCACCCTCGCACAACTGGGTCTGCATGTGCCAGGAACAGCTGGCTATCCCTTTATTTTTTCACCAAAACTTAATTCAGACCGGAGCCCCCATTTCCGCAGGATTCGACAGGCAAGGACACCCACCCCAGAGACCGGAGGGCCCTGTGGAAGGCGGGGGTCCCTAAAGTCCCAGCTCTACCCAGGATCACGGGCGGGGACAGCTCCCCCACAAGGGAACCTGGGTGCTGCCTCCAGGAAGCATGTCCCTGAGGCCTGGTGGCCTCCAGGCAGCCACACAGCTCTGCTGGGGACTGGAGACCTCGCCTCCCTTCCCAGGCTCCGGGAGTTTCCTCTCCTTACCCGCCCTCTCTGGCCAGTGACAGGAGCATTTTCTCTTGAGGAGGATGAGAGTTTTAGGAAAGCCTGGAGGAGATCTGGCTTCCTGCTTTCAGCCTGTTTTAAACCCTGAGTCGACCTAGCCGATCTGACTCAGTGGATAGAGCATCGGCCTGTGGACGGAAGGAAGGGTTCTGGGTTCGATTCTGGTCAAGGGCATGTACCTCGGTTGCAGTCTCGATCCCCAGCCCTGGTCAGGGTGCGTGCAGGAGGCAACCATGTCTCTCTCTCATATTGATGTTCCTGTTCTCTCTCTCTCTCTTCCCCTTCCTCCCACCCCATCTAAACACCAATTGGGGGGAAAGGGGAGGGAATAAATAAATGGGGAAAACCTCTGATGAGGATTAACAACAAAAATAAATAAATAAAACCCTGGGTCAAGGAAGCACAAAAGGGCCCGACAACCACGCTGTGTGTAACCCAGCAGGGGAATATGCAAATTCATATTTCAACACGTATGCCCACGCAGTGCTGGGATGGCCGTCTTGATGAAGCCTCACACCAAGTTCTCTCAGGTCCTTCTGCTGAATATCTCCAGGCTCTGTCTCTCCCCCGACCCCTTGGTTCAGGCCTCCGTCATCGCTCACCTGGATTTCTGCACAGCCTCCAAGTTGCTGCTCCTCCCACCTCCAGGCCCACTTCCCTGCCTTCCATCTGGCCTCCCGCCTCACTCCGACTCCTTTTTTCTACACTACAGCCTTTTTGACCATGTCCCTCCCCAGGCATAAAATATTTTAGCGAAATTTCCATCTCCTTCTCCAGGCAGATGGTGAGATAACCTATTCTTTTTCTTTTTTTTAAAAAAAATTTCCTTTTTCTTTTTTAAACCTTCATCGGGGATATGTTTATTGATTTTGAGAGAGGAAGGGAGAGAGGGAGAGAGAAACATCAATGTGAGAGAGAAACATTGATCGGTTGCCTCTCATACGTGCCTGGATGGGAGATCGAACCCGCAACCTTTCAGTGCACAAGGCGACGCTCCAACCAACTGAGCCATCAGCCAGGGCGAGATAACCTATTCTTACCTTCCATAGTAGAGTATAGTCTCTCATTACCAGTCCCTACCCCCACTACCAATTTTTTCTCCAGTTTTAGCAAGCTGCCTGGAAGTTGTTAAACACACACCAGTTATTCAGCAAATATTTGTTGAATATGGACTGTGTGCTGGGCCCTAGGGTTACAGCAGTGAACCAGACAGGACTCCCACGATGCTGGACTCTACGCCTTTGAGTGTGTGGTTCACTCTTCCCAGATGATCTTCCTTTATTTCCTCTGGCAAACTACCCATCTCTTAAGATCCCAGTTTAACCATTATCTTCTTCCAGATGCTTTCCCTGACACCCAGTCAGTTGCTCCCCGCTGTGGGTTCCCATAGAGTCCTCTAGGTGTTGGCTCAGTCGTTAGCCCTCCCAAGGCATTGTTATCCAGCCTCCTGGCTTTACATTCCACCCAAATTGATACCTCCAGTGCAGACTCTCCATCTGCCTACTTGCAATATAAACTAAGATGTCTAATAGGCATCTCAAGATTGCCACCCGCATACCTGGGTTGCGGGCTTGGTCCCGGGTGGGAAAGCAGCTGATCAATGATTCTCTCTCATCACTGATGTTTCTCTCTCTCTCTCCCTCTCCCTTTCTCTCTGAAATCAATAAAAAAAATATATATTTTTAAAAAGATTGCTACCTGCATAAATCTGTCCTCCCCAGTCTTCCCCATCTCAGGAATTTATTCTACCACGCATCCAGCTGCCCAAACTGAAAACCCAAACATTGTGCTTGACTTCTCCTTCTCCCTCATCCTAGACCCCATCTCCACCCTTTAAGCTCCGCTTCCAGAATATATCTCCTATCTCTTTGGCTCTCTTCTCTGCTGCCACCACATTAATTCAAGCCATCATTGATTTCCTGTCTGGATTACTGCAACAGGCGCCCGGCCGTCTATCCTACACACAGCAGCCAGAGTGATCTTATAAAATCTTAATTCAGATTATGTCATTCTTGCTTACAGCCCTTCCGTGGCTTTCTGTTGGACTTAGAATTAAACCCAGCTCTGCAAGCCCTGGCATGGCCCGGCTCCTTCCAACTCATCTCGTCCTCCCGCCCTTCTTTCCAGTTCCTGGCCTCCTTTCTGTTCTGCAAATGCACCGATCCTTTCCTGCCTCTGGCTGGTGCACTTACTGATCCTTCTTCCGCCGTGGTTTTCCAGCATTTGCTCATCCTCAAGTCTCAGCTCTGAGAGGCCATCCTGGACCACCCTTTCTAAATGGCCTGCCCACTGTCTCTCTCTTTAATTCATCTTTAGAGAACTTATCACAATCTGTAATTATCTTGTTTATTTGAGGATTATTAGTCCCCCTCCAAAAGGAGTGGGGATCTTGTCTATGTGGTTTACTGCTGTATCCCCCAAATCAGGTCCTGGCGTTTGATAAATATTTGTGAATGATTGTGTTTATTCATCTTTGATCACAGTCATCACCCTGCCTCAGAATCTACTTATTTATGTGTCTGTTTCCCTAACTTCATCATAAGTTCATACATTGCTCTGTTTCTGGAATCTAATCCATGCCTGGAACATAGTAGGGGGTCAGTGAAGGCCTGTGGAATAGATGAGGGAAAGTAAAAGGAGCAATCAAAGTGAGGAGAAGAACCAGGAGAGAGTGGAGTTGAGGAACCCAAGGAAATCAAGTTCCAATCAAGGCCAGAGAGGTGATGTGATTAATCTGGCTTATACAAGGCACAGAGCCAGAACTAGGGCCAGGGTCATCTTCCTGGTATGGACATTCACACCCAAATGTCCCAGGTGACTTTTTCTACCTTATTTGTTCATCTGCCCTCATGTCTCCTTGCAGGAAGGACATTCCCCAAGAAGGGCCAGACGTGTGTGGTGCACTACACAGGTAGGCCTTGCTCCCCTAGCCCTCATCAGACTGCCCTTCCCAAGGTAGGTCTCTCCTCTAACACTCCTCTCCAGAAACATCTGCTCCCCTGAATCAGGCCCAAAGCCCGCTATTCCCCACTTCTCCCAGCCAGCCTTGTGGGAATGAGGAAGGGGGCTTGCAAGGTTAACCCCTCCCCACTTATACCAGCAAGTCATCCATGGTTCCTCGCCTCTGTGTGGGCAGAGTGGAGCCCTGGCCCTCCTGGTTCTGTTTGATAGCTGGAAATCCCTTTGTACAGCTCCGAGAGCCCTGACCATCCCTGCAGACTCCCTTTGCATCATATGGTGTTATTAGAGGAGGGTGGCTTCCTCAGGACTTTTTTTTCCCCCCAGAAAGTCTATTCAATTCAGCCTACTGTTATTGAGTACCTACTGTGTGCAAAATGCTGTGTTGGGCACTGGGGCTGTGGGGGGTGGGAGAGGGCAGACAAGTCATGCAAGGCCCTGGTGCAGTATAAGGGGTGGGATGATAGCATTGCTGTGGGAGCCAGGGGAGGGGCTGCGTCCCTGCTGACCCCTCTGGGATGGTCTGTATTGGAAGGGCAGGTGGGCTGTGAACATTCTAGATGGAGTTCCTGAAGACTGCTGGCAGGAAGATCACAAGCAGGTGTTTGTTCCAAGGCAGCGGGGAGGGGGAGTGCTCTGCTATGTGACCTGCTTCTCAATGGGGCAAACCTGATGACAGCCACTTAGCAGACAACAAGGCCAGTTTAATTCCTAAGATGTATGGAAATGGGGCCATTTTTTAGCAGTTCTCTGGGCCAGTGTGAAGTGCAGGTTAATTCTAGACAGATACTGGGGGTATTTTTCTCAACTGCTGTGTTGCTGGTCGCTGACGTCAGTGGCTGGAGCTGTGTTTTATCTCCCAGTGATGTGGCCTAATTACCGTGAGTCTTCTGGGGCCTCTGACCCGTGTAATCGATTTATCTGTCCTACATGTTGCAGACAGATCTGTACTCATCAAATTACTGAAACCACAACATCTTTTTGCAAAGACTTTTCACAATACACACAGAGAGCAGGCAGCATGCATTAAACACTAACGTCAGCTAGGAGTGGCTCTGGCTTGAGGAGGGACTATCTCATCACGGTAGATGATGTGGGACTTTTTGGTAAATATTTTTTATTAAATATAAATACAGTAGAGAACATAAATCTAAAATGTATAGCTCCATGAAATTTTTCGAAGTGATCACACTCAGGTAACCACCACACAGATCAACATATGCATTTCCTGCACCCCCAGGAGTCTCCCTTCTGTCTCCTCCCAGTTATCACACCTCTCTGAAGACAATCAGTGTCCTGACTTTTGTTCGCATGGATTGGTTTTGCCTGTTTTTGAATGTCATATAAATGGATTCAGAGTTTATTCTTGTGATAATCCTCACCCAAGGATATGTTTATTTTTAGAGAGAGAAACATTGATAGGTAGCTTCCCATCTGCGGCCCACCAGGGATGGTATCTGCAATCTATGGTGTATGGGACCACACTCCAACAAAATGAGCTATCTGGCCAGGGATAGAGTGTGTACTCTTTTATGGTTGGCTTATTTACTCAATATTATGTCTGTGAGATTTATGCAGAATGGTTGTTCTTTTCTATTTTTGTACCATTCCTTGCATTATATGAATACTAGAGGCCGGGTGCACTGCTGTGGAGGCGGGAGAGGCTCCTGCCACCGCTGTGCTCGCCAGCCGTGAGCCCAGCTTTTGGCTCCACAGGGGGAGCGCACTGACCACCAGGGGACAGCTCCTGCATTGAGCGTCTGCCCCCTGGTGGTCAGTGCACAGAACAGCGACCGGTGGTTCCACCATTTGGTCGATTTGCATATTAGCCTTTTATTCTATAGGACTAGAGGCCCGGTGCACAAAAATTTGTGCACTCGGGGGGGGGG